GATGAATATGCATTTAAAATGAAGAGGAGTTATCCTAGCATTGATTTATATGATAACATTCCATAGGTAGACATCATTTAAGAAATAGGAGGAAGACCTTGCATGTAAGGTGCCGGCTGCGTATACCAGCCAGTACACAATCTGGCTACGTTTGTGTGTTAGCGCATGCGCAATATCTCACCAGAGAAGTTATATTTTGGGATGAATATGCATTTAAAATGCGTTAGGGGGCTAATCTCAGCATAGATTTCCTTTACCTTTGAGTTCCCCCAGAACTATTTGCCAAAATTTCCACGAAATGATTACAATAGATTTTTAACATATATTGTCTTTCATTAATGGCGTTTTAGACAAGCAAAAACTATTACATTTTCTTGAAAGCTATCTCTATTCTATGCAAAACCAACATATTTTTGGCTACCAAACATCCAAATATGCATACGGGGGCCATCTTGGATATTTTGTGGCATTTGCGCATAAATAGTTTATGTAATGTTTTCAAAATCCCATGTAATGCATTTTCTATCACACAAAAACATGCAAAATACATCAGAAAACAATTGCCAAATTACATCAGGAAAACAATGTTCATAGAATAAACACATTTAATATACCCTTTACAGCTTAGTCCTTTGCAGCTACACCAAAATACCAGTCATCACTAAAGCTAATATCTGGATACTAGAAGTTTATGAATTTGCCATAGCTGATGAATGTGGATGCACCACACGTCACTACCTGATTCTGGATGGCGAATTCCATAATACAGGGATTCACTATGAGAATCTGAGTCTAATTCACCCTCACCTAACAAATATTCTGTGCTCACTTTAACTTTCCACTTGGAAATATTGACAACAACCCTTAGTGCTTCCTCAGCTTGAAAAACGATTTTTCTCCAGCTCATATGTTCACTTATTTGTCCGAAAAATTACATCTAAATCATCTGAAACACTTCTTCATGGGCGCCAGGGACCATCGTTTTAGCAGACATCGCTAAACAAACCGGGACTTGTTCTCACGAGGGTTGAAACGGCGGCCGGAACTTTGTATATTTCAGCCTGCTCAAAGTCAGGCTGATAAACAAAACCAAAAACATTGATTTACGCATAATTTTGTCTTACTAATTTTACAAATTATTTCAATCAAAACACCATGTAACTGCGTAGCTTTAATAAAATACGATTTGGCGCGCCGTATTGCAAAAACCGAACAAGGCATAGGGTGTCTGTAGCCATAGATATGGATGCAAATAAAGATCGTGACGTCAGACCGCGCCAAATGGCGCGTTCGGGGCTCAAAGGGGACCTGTGTTTATAATTAGGAGAGCGCCCTAGCATGTAGGGTACAAAACACCTACTTTATGCCTTAGCGACTTTCCCGTTGCCTCCCTGTCCCTCGTTTCAGGCCTCCTTCTTCTCTACCGCCCCAACTAATCTTCCCTGCCGCATTTTCAGTCTCCCATCCCCTCTCCCCTCTTTGACAGCAAGCTATATTATAAAGTTTGCCTCAGACGGCACTGCACGCCTAACACGATGCGCGCGCATGCGCAATATGTCCCGAGAAGAAGAATATTTTTCAAAGATTATGCATTTACAGTGAAGACGAGTTATCATAGCATAGATTTATATGATAACATTCTATTAGTAGACATCACTTAAGAAATAGGCAGTGTGTGTGGGTGTGTGTGTTTGCGTGTGTGTCTGTGTGTCTGTGGTGTATGTGTATGTTGGGTGTGTGTGTGTGTGTGTGTGTGTGTGTGTGTGTGTGTGTGTGTGTGTGTGTGTGTGTGTGTGTGTGTGTGTGTGTGTGTGTGTGTGTGTGTGTGTGTGTGTGTGTGTACGTGCGTGTGTGTGTAGTAAATAAGCCATCGATCACTTCTCACTTTACTGATACATACACGCACGTCAACATTGGCACACACCGCTGCACCCTGCAACGCCTGCACACGCGCCACCATCAGGTTCAAAGTACGAATCTGGAGTTCGACCTAAGCGTGACCGCCTCCTCATCCTCTATGTCGGCTTAGCCATGGCTGAACAGGACACAGACAAACGTAAGGGCCGTGTTGTTATAGTCGTAGTAACTCACTTACACTCGTTGTGCGACGTGTAAGACATCATTTCACCCGTTCGCGATGTGATGTTTTGTTGATGTCTCGTGTAGATGGTTAGGTATATCTGTATGTTGTGGAGCGATAACGTGGTATCTCTGTTACCGGTGTAGAGCCAGCGTGAGTCATGCCTTCTCTCTACGTGCCTGAAGCGTGTACCTGCGGGCGTACGGGCCAACGGGCGCAATATATCGCCTGCTTACGTGCTTGTGTGCGTGTCTGTGCGTGCGTGTGTGTTCTTGTGTGCGTGCTTACGTGCTTGTGTGCTTGTCTGTGCGTGTCTGTGCGTGCGTTCGTGTATGTGTGCGTGCGTTGACTGGAAGATCTATCACCGGATATCCTTCATCGTAAGGGAGGAGGAAGTGTGCAGAGCTGCTCTATAGCTAGCATTACTAACATAACATATATCTTACTTGCTATATCCTAACGTAACGTAGATGTTATCTCCCGTATATCACCCCCTTACACTCCGCGCTACGCTCTCACGTTTATCGACTGACTGTGACTGGTGGCTGGTCTGCGACTTATGTCAAGTATGTGTTTTATTTATGTTTATGGAATTGTGTTTTATTTTATTTATGTACCCTAGGTTATTTTGTTGCGTTATTATAGATTAATTTGCGTTGATATGGAGCGTTGATGTGTATTTGGACAGGACCAGGATTGCATGGTTTGCGTGAGCACTGAACACTGTTGTATCACAAGCATCTTAATCGTCTGTTTACATGTCTCATATTAACTCTGTCTCAGATCGTTTATGTAATTGCTTTCTTGCTGCTAACTAACTGTAGTGCTACCGTTCTACCTGTAACAGCGAATGTTGTAGTCGCACCAAGCTTGTCGGCCGTGTCGCCGCTTCCTCGATGCATAACGAAAGTTTTATAACCCTGCGACGAAGCCAACAAAAGTTTGAAAATCAACATGGCGTCAAAAATATTTGCCGTGGAAGTTAATCGCTCCCGTGAAACGACATCCCCGTAGTGCTGACCCGGGACCTCTCGCTAGTATACGAGAAAAACGATGATTAAACATTGCTCTACAGTAGCATCCCGAGACACTGCACAATTCCCCCTTAAAGTCTGATATTCATGTTTTCTAACATTCTCTTTCTATCGTCATAGATTTGGTAGATTTTTTATATAGATTCAGAGGCTGGTCGCTGGGTAGGCAACTAAACCATCTGTGTGCTTTAACCACGGCCCCTTGATCTGGTTAATCCGGTAACCCGGATATTGCGGTCATCCCAATAATGCGGTTTCGTATCTGATCCGGTTTCAGATGGGAAGAGCGACCCGAGCCTGGACGCATTCACGCAGGGAACCCGGATGCTCAAGGTTAGGTCACACAAGCATATGTACGACCGCAACTTCGTTCTCCTGCCCGACATGACGGCACTCAAGTACACGGACTCTCACAAATGGATAAAAGGAAACTGCTCGTGTAAGTTCATCACGACATCACCATTACGATTATCATCATCATCATCAGCATCAGCATCATCATCATCTCGTGGAAGTTTAGCCATTCATGGAATAGTATCTTAGGTTAACCGTTTTATCATATGACAAAGGGTATCAAGTAAATATAGGGATTACGCGTGGAGGGTAGAGTAATAAGACGTAGGGTCGTACAGCGCTATGATTAATACGCGCCCACGGTCCCACCCCCTGCTAACGCGATGCTGACCCTTGCACCTACATGTTTACACCAGGTATGCGTGTTACCTGTCAGTCGTACGTCACCGTCACGTGGGAACATAGCTCGCCAACAATAGATGTCCCATAATGCATCCGTCATTATTGTATTTATAAAAATATGTTGTGCGAACCCAAATTATTTGCAGAGCAATCGTTGCGGCACCTGGTAGGTGAACATCTTGTTGCGCTTTTCCCTTCTCTCGCCCTCTCCCTTTCGTTTTTTTCCCCCACTTTCTCTCTCTCTCTCCCTCTTATCACCTCTCACTTCCCATCTCCCATCTCCATCTCGTTCACTAATCTCTCCCGCCTCTCTCTTTACTCTTTCTTCCTTCCTGCCTCTCTTTCATCAGACCGGCTTCCCTCACCCCTCCTCTATCTGCTTCTCTCTGCTTGCAGTCCCTATTGCCGACATACAGGAAGTAAGAACCGGATGGAACACCGCCATCTTTGACTCCGTCGCAAAATCCAGCAGCAACGCACTCGACGAGCGTCAGTGCTTCTCATTGGTCATGGGCAACAATTACGTGACGCTCGATCTGGCAGCTGATTCGCCAGAGACGCGCGACCGGTGGGTGGCGGCGCTGCAAACGCTCGTGAAACGTCACACGTCGGCTAGCCTGAAGAAGCAACATTATCTGTATCCTTGACAAGGTCACGTGGAGGTCACGAAGATCCCTGATGTTTATGGTTTAGCACCATAATAATCAATTAATAAACTTAAAATCATTTACCGTCATAAATACTCTAGTATGAATAGAGAATGGTTAAAGACCAGTAGAGTAATATTAAACAACTCATTAAAAAAGTAATAAAAGTACAAATGCTTCCGGTAGAAATGTGATGATTGTTGTTGAAACAGTATTGTCTCGCTCCCTCACCATTGAACTATGACGTTTATCATGAGAAAGCAAACGAATAAATAGCGTCAGATGTATTTACACCTAGTTATATATATATACATGTATATTATATATATATATATATATATATATATATATATATGTATATATACATGCTGCGTTATACGTAGGTATTTATTTATTCTTAACTACTATGGCAACGCATAGCTACCTGAAGGAACATTTCATAAAAGCTGATTCGGATAAAAATAAAAGATTAGGTTTCGACGAGATTCAATCGCTATTGAAGCAAATGAACATCAGTATAGATAAGAAAAATGCAAAGAGGATGTTTGAGGTAAGGACAGCCGTGACGTCATCATACCACGTGCTGAATTGCCATGTAGCTGACCATGTATGTGAAGGGGGGAGTGTCATCCAGGGATTCTTCCCAACTCTATATTGGGTGTACCAGCAAGATGGGGGGACTGCTACGCCGTGGCAGAGGTTTGCTATCTCCGATGGCTCTTGTTATTCTTTAGGTACTCACTTGTTGAGCAGACAGTACTGCTAATTTTCCCCTTTTTTTTCCCGCGTGGAAACGACCAAGAACTCTATCAACCGGTAAATGGCGCTGCAGGGCAGATTCTAATTGCCGAGGGGACCCCTTTGTATTATTTTATTTCTATGCTTCCTTTTTATCCTGTTGGTCTCTCGCAATCTTGTGAAGACCTCATTTGTTTTTCTCTACAGAGGGCCGACAAAAACCGAAATGGAAACCTGGACGTGGTTGAGTTTGTTGACTTCTACGAGCGGCTGTTAGTAAGACCCGACATCGACCAAATCATTACCAGGTATATTCTTGATGACGCAGTCGACAGGATTCCGTGTTTTACCGTTACCAAGCATGACTCGTGTAATGACACTGATACAGTCATATTGATGTATCATAGAGATAAACATGGTATGCAAGCAACTATTCACGATATACTACAAACTACATACTCCAACAACTACGTGTGTATTTATGCATTCATAGCTTCACTGCTGCCGATGACGCGAATTTCCTTGATGCAGTAGATCTGCAACGATTCCTCCAGCAATCACAGAAGGTGAGAGAGCATCTGTTTATCTATCCATCTATCCATCTGTCATTTCATTCATCCATCCATTCATCCATTTATCTATCTATTCATCGCAAGCAATAAAATTCCACTTCCTTTCACGTACCCAGTTAATAAACCAGTAACGTTATTGTCAGTACACTGTCACTCAGTATTGTCGCTGCGCGTACATTTGCTGCTCTTGTGTTTTTACAGGTCGAGTTCTCGTTGGACGACTGTAGGATGTTGATAAACAACCACGAGGTCCAGCCGACGTTCAAGAAGGAAGGCTTTCTCAGCAGTGACGGTAAGGTGCTGCCTTCGTGCGGGCGCGATCTACACTTTCTGAGGGTGTGCTGGGCTAGCGCGGGGCATGTACAGGACACTGATGCTACCGTGCATGATAGAGGAGATACAATTACTCTGTCAACCGCAGTGGATGCAGCGTCATATATATATATATATATAATATATATATATATATATATATATATATATATATAATGATATATATTGTGATATAGATGTGTACCTAATATGTCATTTAAGCAGCGGGTTAGTGTTAGGGCACTGCCCCCTATAGAATGTGCCACGACGTGATTGCTCTGCTCCACCAGTGTGTGCATTGCGTGTCGCAGGGCTGAGTCGCTACTGCTGAAGGAATATCCGGTGGATCAGCAAACACATGCGGCGAAATCTACCAAAGAACATGAGCCAGCCACTCCAGCGAATACTATATAGCACTTTCCCACCAACACGTCAAGTTTTTAACGTTTCATCGTCACGTCAGCTGTTCTTAAGCGCTTATTTTATTGCGCCGTGGCATTTTTATTCTAAAATGTCAGAGGCGGATTCAAGACGGTATTTGCCGTATGTGGGAAAGTACGTCTAGATTTCCAAGTGCCCTTTCGAAATTTTGCGCTAAAAATACAAGAAAGCAATTTGATGGAGTTTGGCCTATTATTCTTTCATATTGTTTTCTTTTTCTTCTTCTGATATCATATGACAGGACTTGAAAGAAAACTTCAAAATTTACATCGGTAAAATGATCTAGTGAGCAACTACCCCCTGATAATTACCACCGGACACAATTACGCCCCCGGACAACTTACCCACCAGGACAATTCCCACCGGACATATACCCACCGCCGACAATACCCCCCCCGGACAATTACCCACGCCCGGACAATTACCCCACCAGGAACAATTACCCACCAGACAATTACCCCACCCAGGACAATTACACACGCAGGACAGTTACCCACCAGGACAAATCTACCCACACCGGACAATTACCCCCTAACCTTCCAATAATGGGAAAAATTCCCTTCGCGTAAATTTTGGTCCGCTGCAAATACATAAATGTATGTTTTGGAAAACGAGACGAATGCCTACCCCTGTGTTCAGAGAACAGCGCGTTGATATTGGAGACGGGGGGGAGTCGCCCCTACCCTCCTATAATGACGCGAAATGTATTGTATACCCCAATGCATCTTGCTCTTGGCCAGTGTTACGTTCATGTTAATGTAACTGTTTGTTGCGTGTGTGCCGGCAGAGGGTCGTCGCTCTTGAAGGCAGGGGGGATGGCCTGTTACAATAATCCCCCTGAGATTCTACACAAAAAAGAGAAAAAAAGATACCAAAAAGTATGGTTGCAAACAACAAAAACACGTGAAATTGTGAGACAATTGACAATTCTTACCTGTGTATTATTACTATAGTAAGCCTATACTGTGTCCGCTCTCTGAAAAGTCATGAAAAGTCGTTTTGATCCTAACTTGGCAGGAGTTGAGTATAGGGTTGAATAGTGTCACTCAGACATGAGAATTCATGCGCCCACAGTATGCCTCAGATTGCAAGGAAAATCTGGTAAATATTTCAAAATTTTACATGCCTACCGGCACGTGCAAAATGTACCAGGTTGTCAACATTTGGCGTATGTATGCATGCTTAATAAATGTATGTTACGTTGTTTTGGTGTGTGTGTGTGTGTGTGTGTGTGGTGTGTGTGTGTGTGTTTGTTCGTTTGTGTGTGTGTATGTGTGTGCATGATGTGTGCATGTGTGTGTAATTGTTGTATGTAGTGTATGGTGTGTGTGTGTGTGTGCACGTGTGTATTGTGGTGTGTATGTGTGTGTGTGATGCGGGTGTGTGGGTGTGTCTGTGTGTGTGCTGTGTGTGTGTGTGTGTGTGTGTGTGTAATGTTCGTTGCGTGCCGCCGATCAGCGCGCTGTGTGCGTACAATATTGTAATCTCGTACGCGACTAGCTCTTCTACATGAGTGCTGGGGGGGATGACTAGTGTCCTCATTTTTCTGCTTGTATTGATTGCGTTCACAACACTCATGAACAGCAGCGACACGTACACGTGCGTGCGTGCGTGTGTACGTTACACGTGCGGGCCGTGCAAGTCTGCGTGGTGCAACGTTACACAGTCGCGTTGCCGTCGCACGTGTGTACACGTGCTGGCGAATGTGTGTGCACGTAACACGTGCGGCGTGCGTCTGCATTTGCAGTGTGCGTCGTGTGTGTGCACGTCACGTCGCGTGCAGTGCGTGTGCCACGGTACCACGTGCGTGCGGCGTGGCGTTGCATGTGCGACGTGTACGGTCGTGGGTCGTGTTGCACGTCACTGTGCGTGTGTTGCACGTACACGTGCGTGTCAGTGCCGTGCGTGCGTGGCGTGTGTGCGTCTGCGTGTCACGTACACGTGCGTGCGTGCGTGTGTACGTACACGGGTGTGCGTGCGTGGCGTGGTGCCACGTACACGTGCCGTGCTGTACGTACACGTGCGTCGCGTGCGTTGCATGTTCACGTGTGCGTGCCCGATGTGTGTGCAGCGTACACGTGCGTGTGTGCACGTACACGTCGCGTGCGTGCTCGCGTGTGCACGTACACGTGCTGCGTGCGTGCGTGTGTAATACACGATGCCGTGCGTGCGTGCATGTTGCACGTGCGTGCGTGTTCCTTGTGCACGATACACGTACGTGGGCGTAACAGTGTCGCGCCGTCACGTCCTGCAGTTATTCATCGTGCTGCGTGTGCACGTATGTCGTGCTCTGTGTACTACGTGCGTGCGTGCGTGTGTACGTACACGTGGGCTCGTGCTTGTGAAGCCGCGGTGTGAGTGCGTGCGCTGTGTACGTACACGTGGTGCGCGTGCGTGTGTACGTATACAGCGCGCGTGCGTGTAGTTACGTACAGCGTGCGTGCGTGCGTGTGTACGTACACGTGGCTGTGCGTGCGTGCGTTGTGCGGCGTACACGGTCGTGCATGTTGCACGCTACCGTGCCGTGCCGTGGCACGTGCGTCTGTGCACGTACACGTGCGGCGTGCGTGCATGGTGCACGTGCCGTTGCGTGTTCTGTGCACGTACCCTGGTGGGTTTAATTGTCCGGGTGGGTAATTGTTCCTGGTGGGGTAATTGTCCGGGGTGGGTAATTGTCCGGGGGTTAGTGTCCTAGTGGGTAATTGTCCTGGTGGGTAATTGTCCTGGTGGGTAATTGTCCTGGTGGGTAATCGTCCTGGTGGGTAATCGTCCTGGTGGGTAATTGTCCTGGTGGGTAATTGTCCGGGTGGGTAATTAATGTCCTGGTGGGTAATTGTCCGGGGAGTAATTGTCCGGTGGGTAATTGTCCAGTGGGTAGTTGTCCGGATACGGGTAACAATACTAGCTTTGATATCTGAAAAAGAAGGGAAATGCTTGAATCAGTCTGGATTAATTGCTGGTATGCAAAGCGCAGGCAAAATGAAGCAGAAATAAAATTCCATATGGTGTTTAGCTATTGCTGCTTGACTAAATGTGTGCTCAAATGGTGCTCATTTTTGTGCCCATGGACCCTTGAAATTTTGAAATTTCCTGGGGGAGGCCCCCCAGATCCCCCGCCATGTGCTCCCGCGCCTAACGGCGCCCACTGTGAGGTGGTGTGCCCTTTTTGGGGGATGTGCCCTTAAAATCTGGAAAAATACTGTCTAGCTTCAGCCCTGGATCCGCCCCTGAATGTTCCATCTCAACCTTACTGTTTTATAGTAATAATATTTAGTGTTATTATTTCTTTTCAATATTATTTATTATAGTGAGGTAATATTGTTATTATTGTTGTTATTGTTGTTGTTGTTGTTGTTGTTAAGGCTTGACATTCGTGTCTGTAGGTACTTGATGGAAGACCAGTTGCGTGGTCCCAGCAGCTGTGAGGCTTACATCCGGGCATTCAAGCTTGGATGCCGCTGTGTGGAACGTGAGTTACGTCAATAAGATGACGTCATCAAATATGATTACGTCATTGGACTGTAAATTTCAGACCCTCCTTAACAAACACAGTACGTCTGTTTCATGACATTAACCCCCTCTGATTGATTCAGGGGTGGGCCGACGATGGTAGTGATGGGGGCGGTGGTATGAGTAAACACAAGCAGGGGGTGTTTGGGGGTGATGTAAGCTCCCTCTAGCGGCGTCGGTGGTAGAGCCCCGGAGAGAAGCACATTTAAGACAGGCTGCCACGTACCTTCTAGCTTCTAGTTAAATACTACTTTACCCTCACTACCACCCACCAACACGACGCGGACCACTACTGTGTCACAGCAAGACTTGCTGTCACCGTGGTTCATGGTTGTTGTTTGTAGTCGACTGTTGGAACGGACCGGATGGAGAACCGATCATCTACCACGGATACACGCTCACCTCCAAGATCCTCTTCAAGGACGTTGTGCACGCTATTGCCGACTACGCTTTCTCCACGTCAGAGTAAGAAATCCGTCTTTGATGCCGCTGCTGCTGCTGCTGCCGCTGAGGGGGGAGGAGAGGGAGGCGACAGAGAGGACGTCCGCAGACTCTCGTCTCGTGCCTAAAATACTGGGAGTAAAGAAACCGTTGATTAACGAATCACAGATGCCTAAACATTGCACCGCAGCAAAAAACCGCGCAGGTGGTGAGGGAAGGAGGGGAGGGAATCTGGGTCACACTCTGTGTTCTACTCCCGTGGCGTCGTGTATCGTAGAAGCTTACTGCAATTAACTCTATCCTGCTACTATAACATGGAGGTTTAATGTCGTAACTCTATCCTGCTACTATAACATGGAGGTTTAATGTCGTAACTCTATCCTGCTACTATAACATGGAGGTTTAATGTCGTAACTCTATCCTGCTACT